ATGCATTCTAAATGTGTCTTTAAAATGCATGTGACATATCCTGAGAATGAATAAAGAATGGTAAAAAAAGAGGATTGAGGATGAAGAAAGGCTTGAATTGATAGGAGACCAATGAATTTGCTAGGTTGAATAATTCATTATTTAGAATCACCTTTAGATGTAGCCCCTATTACAATCTATTTAAGAAGTAGCATATTTGTTCAGAATATTGAAAAATCTCTTCAAAAAGATGCTATTTGCTGTAGTCTAAAAAGTTCCTCCATGTGTAAAGTGTTCAATTTTGTAAAAATGCTCAGGACTAAGTGTCATATTTAAACATTTTAATTAACCTTTAATATAATTTTATTCTAACAATAAAACCTCTTTATTGTTTATGTTCTCTTTTTCCCCCCTGTTGTAATTTTAGTTAAATACCAAACTGGAAAGGCAATCCCAAACTATTGCCTTTGAAACAGTTCTGACTTCTGGTGACCCTGTAAAACAGAATTGAACTGCAGCATAGTGTGTGTAAGGACAGACTGTCATATCTTTTTCCCTTAGAACATCTTGAGGGTTTGAACTTTGAGCTATTCAGTTTGCAGTCAAACTCTTAGTCACTGTGCCACCAGAGCTCCTGAATGAAATACTAGACATTTACCACTTATTCTTTCAATGAATTTTATAGGTTTTCTTTTATGTAGGCACTGTTTTGGGGGCTGCATGTAGTAAAGTAGACTACGACATAATTTAGATTCTAGTACAGAAGGAGATCAATAAACACTTACAAAATATCTAATATGTCATGTGGTGATGTATTTTCTGCAAGGACAAATAAGAAAAAAGAATAAAGTTGTGAATGTGTTGTATTTCCATAGGTCTGTTAGAGGAGGCCTCTTTGAAAAAGTGTCAAATGATTAATGACTTGGAAGGTTGAAAGAACACACCTCCTAGAATCTGCAGTAGGTTTTAGGAGGAGGATTAGATCATTGGAAAGGTCCTGGTTGGGAAGGTGTCTGGTCTGCCCTCAAGATGACTATAACTCATAGCAACCCTATGAACAACAGAATGGACCCTTACAATAAATTTCATAACTTTTGTGCATGGGAATGAAGTATTTGGGGAGGAGGGTAGGAAAATTGTCTCAACGTGATTAAAAGTTGCAACATGCCTTTTCAGAAATAAAGAGATAAATGGTATTACATGGGATAAGACAAAGAAACCCAGCAACTTGACTTCAAGTTGACTGTGATTCGTTGGAACCAACTCATAGCTGACCCTCAGGTAGGTTTACAGAGGTAGTTAATTGCATGGAAGGACATTGCCCATCCTCCTTCCACGGAGGAGCTGGTTGCCTCAAAATATGTGTATTTGTTATTGCAGCACAGCTTTTTGCCACTAGGCCACCAGAGCTCCTGTAAAGAAGGAGTAGGAACTGCTTTATAGGGTTTTTCCATGGCTGTAATCTCTTCAGAAACAACTGCCAACCAAAAAGCAGGAGGTTTGAATTAATCACTTGCTCCGTGGGCAAAAGATAGGCACTCTCTTCCTATGCAATTTACTGCCTCTAGAAACCTGATAGAGGGTGAGCTATGAGCTGGTTCTATTTCAGAGTGAGTAAGTTCTTCCTCTTGTGTTCTATTCTGAACTCCTTTTGGAAGGAAGACTTTGGGAGTTTAAAAAGTTAGAAACTATTAAATAAAAATCACTTAAAGGGCAATACCCTAAGTGGCAGGTTTGATGTCTACTATAAGCTCTAGGGTGTGATGAACTGTCTTTAAAAGGATCATGAGTGTTTGAATCTGGACAAAAAATGAAAAAGAAATCACAGAGCTGCAGTGGACCATTTTGAGAAGCTTTGACTGATTGTGGAAAGAATAGTGGAGCCAATGACAACATAGCAAATTTGGAAAAATGGTCTATTTAGAGAGAGCCCTATTGGGAGCATGGTTTGATGTGAAGAAGGAAATGGGATCCAGCTACATTGCCCTATGTTTATAGGTTTTTCTACTTATATTGTGTTTGAAACATTTTCAGCCTTTACAGCTCACTGCCTCAATTTTTCCAGATTTGAAATAACGTTCACCTCATGAGACTGTGATTCTGATTAAAAACCTTGGCTTGTGAACTAATAGCTTGTGGCTGTAGATAAGTGGTGAAATATATTTTCTTTTTTTGGCAATATTTTCTTGTGGATTTCCTTCTCTCCCCCCACCCCCCATTTGTCTCATGTCTTTTATGACTTTGTTAGAAATATGTAAAGAAACCATCTAATTTCTATTTAGGAATTATTTTCTTCCCTCTATTTCATTTTCCACCCTCTGTTAATCTGTAATATAACAATCTTCCCCACAGTAATTAATTTCAATTCTGCAAACTGAAACATTTAACTTCAGGTGAAAAGAAACGACAACAACTGATGAACCTTAAACAATAAATATTTGTGTTTTATGCAGTTGTCATGAGTAATTAAGAGAAACTATAAGTAGAATGGACCCTATCTTGCCTGATTTTGCTGAGGGAGGTCACCCATTCTCATTTCGTTTACAAAGGCTAAGAGCTATGAAAGAATGTTTTGTTGAATGTCTATAGCACATTGCCACCTTGTGGCTGCAAGACTTTATTTTACTGCAAAGGAACCCATTTTAATACTGAGCCTACTTGATAAGTTATTTTGTACTTATGCTAATATACATGTTTTACGTTGCTTACAAAGGATTTGAGACACTTGATAAGGATATACAGTCTGAAAGATAGGATTTTAGAGAATGTCTTTGATCTTAGATGGTGTGTACTTAAGTATTCAGAGGTCAAGATGTTGAATGTCTGCAACTTGACTTTCACTGTGTGTGTGTGTGTGTGTGTGAGAGAGAGAGAGAGAGAGAAAGAGAGAGGCAGGAGAGAGAGGAGAGAGTGCGAGAATGTGCATGTGAGTGAGCATGCCAACAGAAAGAGAGTAATAAGAAAGTATGGCAAAAGATTGAGTTCAATTAGTGAAGGGAATGTGGCATTTTGTTGCACTGTTTTGTAGTATTACTTTTCTATTGTTCCTAATTTCCTTCTGAAATTTTCCAAAATTAAAAAAAGTATCTATTGGCAAGAAAATGGACTATGGATGTACAGTAGAATCAAGACACAGGCAAAAAGACTCCATGGCTTATATAACCTCATTCACTTGGGCTACTGATTTCAACTTACCATTTACTCTGAGAAACGATGATAGCTGTAGAAAGGCTTCAGATCTTTGGTTCATAGGGTCCCTATGAGTCGTGCTAGACTCCACAGCTATCATCATCAACAACAACAATGTATAACTAACTGTCCAGGTTTCTCTTCCAATTTATTGTCCATAGATTTAAGTAAAAAATATTCAAGACTTGACAGATTCCTTAGGAGATCTTCCTAAATAGACATTCATTATAGTAATGAACAGCATCACAATTTTTTTTCCTTCAATAAACATGACTTTTTGTTTGAAAGGGCTGTTTCTTTTAAACTGCAATCAGAAATGTTTTCCCTGCTGATCTGGCTAGATCCTGGGGTGCAGGAACTGTTATTTCTTCAAGGACCTCTCCCTGAAATATAATAGGTACTGACTGGCAATGAATTTGAGATGGCACTTATTGACAAGTGCCTGCATTCCAGCTGTTCCGCATTGTTAATGTATAGAGTTGATTTCTGTTCTGTTTCCACTAGCTTGAGAGGAGCTTCTATGAGGGAGGGTCAAATTTCATTTTGGACAAAGGTTTCCAGTATGCTACAGTGTGTATAATCCCAAACTTTCTAATTTCTTCTGCTAGTCTGACTGTGAGTGAAAAAAAATATTTATATATAGACTATATCTTTACCACAAAAAAGAAAACAAATCTTAGTGGACCATTCTTAAAATTGACTTTGAGCAGTTAGACCCAAACCATTTTAAGTTTCTACAAATTTGATTCTTATCTGTAGCAGCTGGAATTTTCATGGGTTTCTGAATAGTTTTGTATTTCTTTTCAGTTTTTAATAACTATCTGGATAAATGTGCATGCACCTGAATATTTTTGTCCTTAAGCATTATCTAGACACAGATGTACATACATGTAAACTCATTTGAAGCCTGAGTGTTTTAATAAGTATGACCCTGTTCTGATGTGAAAGGTTATCTTATAAAAGAAAGGCAGATCTGGAAGAAATAAGTATTGTGGCACAAGGGATTCTTTTGTCAAATGCTGTCTCTTGAAGTGGCTTTGGTTCCTCTGATTCTTGTGACAGGTTTTCTTTTAAAAAGCCATATAGTGATGTAGTGATGTATTGATTTCCATTAAGGTCTGTGGTGCTTAGAAATTTCCTTCCCCAAGTTACATTTATGAGCACCAAAAGCTTGTGAATTTTCCTTTGTGAAGAACTAAAGAAGTGATCAATTGCTTTTTTTATAAGCTGTATGCTTAAAAATATTTGAACTGCGGTCCAGAGAAAGACATATATTTTACAAAATGACCCCAGATACATGTAAGATGTATAAAAGGATAAAATCATTCAAAAACCAATATCTTCCCTTCCATCAGTGAATTCGGATCATTTCTGTTCTCTTGTATTCCAAAATACCAGACACCATCTGCCAGTTTGATTGCATGACCCACCAGCGTGTCATGAACAGCAACCTGACAAACTCTGTTGTTGAGATTTTGTAGCAAGCCATATGGAAGACTCCACAATGGAAGACGTTCTGGTAGCCTAGTGGTAAGAAGTTGCCCTGCAGTCCCTAGAGGCATGCTGTTCATATCCACTAGTTGCTCCATGAGAGAAAGACGGGTAATCTCCTGTCAAGATTACTGCCTCTGAAAACCTGCAGGAGAATCAGCTATGAGTTGGTTCCAGCTAGATGGACAGCACATAACAGAACAACAACAGCAAAGTTAAAATCATGGTTAAGGGAGAGAGATTTAGAAAAAAGGAAGGCAGAGTGATTGACTGAGATTTTGTTCTGGGTTGTGAAGAAAAAATTTCCTCAGCAAGTAATGTCTCTACTCTTCTCTCTGCAGCTGGATCACATATTATCCCCACCGCCCATGCCTTTTAGAAAATGCAGCAACCCAGATGTGGCTTCAGGTCCTGGGAAGTCACTAAAGTTTAAAAGGCCACTCAATGAGGATGGAAGACAGCTAAGACGAGGGAGCCTGGGAGGAGCTCTGACAGGTGAGTGACTTCCTGCAAGAGGAGGGACTGTTTCTTTTTTTAAGGCCTGGGGATGGCTGTGGAGTTCCTTGTGTTAAAATGAGCCTGCCTCGGAATGGATTTGCCAGTCTGTGTGGGCTTGGTGTGTTGGGTTTTTTTGGTGTTTTTTTTTGTTGTTGTTGTTGTTGTTTTGCCATTGAGTCAGTCTGACTCATGGAAACTCCATTTGTGCAGGATCCAACTTCTACCTAGGGTTTTCAACTTCTCCTTTGTTTTCTCCTTCTCTTTCTTTTGTCTTCTAAGGTTTGGATTTTTGTGTTTTGGTTTTGTTTTTTTTGTTTGTTTGTTTGTTTTGGGTTTTTTTGTTTTTGTTTTTGTTTTAAATAGGTTATTTTATTGCTTCCCTTTTGGCTCCTGGTCATACTTAAACATTTGCTCCTCCCAGGGACCTTATCCACAGACTGGTTGGTACAGTCTCCTCCAATCCAGAATACAGTTAATTATGTGTCTTTTTAAATCTAAATTTTACTCAAATATAATTTGCATACAGTGAAATAAACCTATTTTAAGAAAATATTGTCATCTTTTGCAGTATTAGCCTAAAAGTTGGCTTTTCTAGCCATTACATAGTTTTGTAGATCATCAGCAGCTGTGACACTAGGATAAGAGAGAGTGCTTCCCACACTGGGCAGCAAGACTTGAGGTAGGCTATAGCAAGACTCTGGTGAAAGTGAGACCCTGGTGATGGTGATGGAGAGATTGCAGCTTTCCTGTGGAGAAGCTGTGACAAGGTGTAACCAGAGGAGCCCTGAGGTAAAGGCCACAGTTAAAGGTTTTGTTGCTTTTGCTGGATGATTGAAGGAGTAGTTGACTTATAACTGCTCCAAGGCAAACTTTATTGGAACATTTGGATTTGACTGCTGAACAGAAACCAGGTCTACTTAAAGAATTGTGTTTTGCTGTTAATCTTGTTTGAAACAGTTAGACTAACAATGGGCTTTCATTGTGAGATATTCCTTGCCTCACCCACTTCCTAACTTTTTCCCCCTCATAAACCTCACTCTTAACCTCAACTTTGCTAACCTCAACTGTTAGCAAAGTGTGAGTAAACAACAAATATTGAACCCATGTGATTGGTAGAGATAAGTGCAGGAACATGATGGGTGGCATGTCTGACCTAGCAGCTGTCTGTTTGCTGCTATTGATATTATTGATGGGGAAAGGTCCCCTTTATGAAGTGGGCAGAAGTCAGACACCATCACCTTCATTCTCTATCTGCTTCTTTTGCATGTGTTTTGACAAATATGTTTACCAGTGTAATGATCGTTATTGTCAGGATATAAAAAGCTTTCTCAGGTGGTTCCCAGTCATCACTTTCCATCCTTTCTCATATCCTCGTTTTGGGTTCAGACAACTATGACTCTGCCTTCAGTCATGGTGGATTAAATTTGTCTTCATAAATGGAGCTAGACAGTCCATACTCTTACTGTGCCTGATTTTTTTGTTGTTGCATGTATCAATAGTGTATGTTTAACTTTGTAAGAGATTGCTGTGCTATTTTCCAAGATCCATTCACCTTTTTTCATTCTCACCAGGATTAGATGAGGGATCCATTTGCTATACATTCTTACCAACATACAAGATTTTACTCATTTGAATAGCCTTTTAGCAGTATACCTTGTGTTTTCAATTTGTAGTTCTCTGATGATTAAATAAATGTGAAATATCTTCTCATAGCATGCATATCTCTGCAATGTGAAGTGTCTATTTGTATGTTTGGCTTATCTTTAAACTATGTCTTCTCAGTTGAATTAAATTTTCTTTTTTAAAAACATAATAAGACATCCAAACTATTTCTGCTGTTTTGAAAAATACCGAAGTAAAATTCCATCAAAGCATGGTTGTTTTTTTCTTTTAAAAAATATAATCCACCGTTGGAAAGTTAATGTAACTAAAATTATTTTTTAATTCTAGTGAGTTAAATTCTTAATATTTCATTTATGTCTCTATATACAAATTGTTTAAAGAAAATTTATTTTTTCATAATGTCAAAGCAGAATTTCCCCTACATAAGATAATGTTTTGCTAGTCAATCCATAAATAGTCAGGAAAAGAAATTCTATGCACATTTGGATAGAAAACAAGGGATTTTTCTTTTTGGAGATGAAATTTATGGAACATGAAATACTTGTGTCCCATGATTCATTGCATCTGTAACAACTGAGTATGTATGGCACATTGCTCATTCTTCAGTGTGATCAAGTTAACTTTGATTTATGAAACAGTTGAACAACGGATCAAAAGCATTCCCTATGCTGTGCCATTCTCACAATATCTACCATGTCCAAATCTATTGTTTCAGTCCATCTTCTTGAAAATCTTTCTTTCACTAATGCTCTATTTTCCCTAGCATAATGTATGTCTTTAAGAAATGACCTCTTATTATAACATGCTCAAAGTATATGAGATGTAGTTTTACCATTTTTGTATCCAGGAGCCACTCTAATTGTGCATCTTCCAATACAGACTTGTTTGTTCTTTTGACAGTCTATGGGGTATTTAGTAGTTTTCCATCATCCCACACTTTAAAAGCATTAATTCTTCAGTTTCCCTTATTTGTTGTTCACATTTTCTATGCACATGTAACAATGGAAAATATTGTGGCTTGGATTAGGTACATCTTAATCTTTAGAGTGGCATCCTTGCTATTTCCCCAATGCAACAAGAGTTTTGATTTCTTGACTACAGCTAGAACTGTAACACTGATCTCAGACTAAAGGGTATATCATAAAATATCTGCTACACTTCACAAAGTTTAAAGTAAACATTCACAACTTAATTTTACTGATGCTTTTTGGATGATTGGTTGTTTTTCTTTGCTTCCTCTTAGTGACATAGACTATTTGCTTTCTAAGGGACATATTTAGAGATGATTTATTCACACTCTTGGTGGGGAAAAGGTTAAATTTTAAAAGTTGTATTGCAAGGCTTATTTCTTTATTTTTAATGTTGGTTAATAGTTTTCTGGCTCTGATTAAACAATTTTTGGCCAATAGGAGAGGCAACAATGATTCACACTATTTTTTATTAGCTTAAAGTTTTCAATTATTGCATATACATAATACTTGATACAAGTATGGGACCTAAAATAGGAATTTTTCTTTTGTATATTAGTCTTGGGGGAAACTTGACCTGATACCTATTTCATTATCTTCACAAATAACAATTATATTTTTATATAATTTAGCTTTGTTGTTGTTAGGTGTCATTGAGTTGAGTGCAACTCACAGTGACCCTATAAACCAAAGATCTGAACCGTGTTCTCTCTAGCACCATCCACACACTTCCTGGCACCCAAGAGTCCATTGCAGCAGTCACTATGTCAGTCCACCTGTTTGAAAGTCTTCCTCTCCTTCACTGACCCTCCATTCTTCCCAGCATCATATCCTTCTCCAAGGAATAGCACCTTGTAGTAATATGCTCAAAGTATGTGAGGCAAAGCCTCATCATTCTTAACCTCCAAAGAGCACTCCAACTGCACCATTTCTAAGACATATCTGTTTGTTCTCTTAGGCATCCATGAGATGTTCAGTGCTTTTCTCCAACATCACACTTCAAAGGCATCATTTCTTTTCCTGTCATCCTTATTCATTGTCCAGCTCTCAGATGCATAGCAAATAATCAGAAAGACCATGGCCTAAATGAAATTCACCTTAATCCTCAAACTGACCATCATTACTCCTCAATAATTTGGAAAGGTCCCTGACTGCAGATTTTCCCAGTGCATTGCATCTCCTTATCTCCTGACTGCTGATACGAAGGGTGTTATTTGTGGATCCAAGCAAGATGAAGCTGTTGACAGTTTCAGTCTCTTCTCCATCCATCATGATGCTGTCTATTGGTCCATTGTCCCATGGTAAGAATCTTTGTTTTCCTGACATTGAGATGCAATCTATACTCAAGGCTGCATTCTTGGATCTTCTGAAACAAGTGCCTCAAGTCATCCTCACGTTCAGCAAGCAAGGTTCTGTCATCTGCATAATGCAGGTTATTGATGAATCTCCATCTAATCCTGATGCCGCACTTCTCTTCATAGAGTCCAGCTTCTTGGATAATTTACTCAGCATACAGATTGAATAGATGTGGAGAAAGACTACAACTCTGATGCACTCCCTTTTCAATTGTAAACCGTGTGTTGGTCCCCTGCTCTGATGGCACAGCAGCCTCCTGATCCAGGTGTAGGTTCTGCATGAGCACCATTAAGTGCTCTAGGATTCCCATTCTTCTCAGTGTCAGCCACAACTTGTTATGATCCACACAAATACCTTTACCTACTAATAATTTATCTTACTAAAAAATATTTTAAGTGATTGAAGCTTTGTTCCCTTACTCATCTGTCAGTTTACTGTACTGTTTTGGCTTGAATGTCATTATGACACTAAAAGTTATGCTGCTGATATCAACAGGGCCAGCCATGGTAAAAAGTATTCATCAGAGTTTCCCCACTAAAGCAGATTAGGAAACAGAACTGGCCCCCCACTTCTGAAATTATAAGCCTTTGAAAGCCCTATGGATAATAGAAGAACATTGTTGGATATAGTGCCAGAAGATCAGCCCCTCAGGTTGGAAGGCACTAAATTTAAAAACCATCTTAAGAATAGATTTGAAGGATTGAACACTCATGACTGGAGACCAACTGAGTTTTGGAATGGCGTCAGGGACATCATCCCTGAAGAAAGCAGAAGGTTAGTACAAAGAAGCTAAAACAAGGGGAAAGAATTTGGAGGTAAGAAAGCTGAACAGAAGCTTTCAAAAAACAAAATGAGAAGTCATAGTGTTAAAATGAAACGTTCAAGAAGCTAGGTTTACAAAACTCCAAGAAAAGAACTTGCACAGCATTTCTCCAGCTGAAGTAAATGAAGAATACATTCAAGCTTTGAGTTCCATAGTGAAGGATTTTATGGGCAAAATCTTGAAATATTCAGGAAGCATCAAAAAAAGGTGGAAGGAATAATTATTAA